TTTAGCCCCCTTCCCCTCGCCCCGACGCTCCGCTCGTTCTACACCTCTCCCTCCCTGTCCATCAGCTTCGTCTGCTCCCGCATCCGTCGATTCCCCTTCCGTCCGCTGACCGATAAGCGTACCACTGTCAGGGTCGAAGAAAGAAGAGGTCGTGGTCCCAAGTGTGCCTCCAGCTGTTCCGCGTCGTCGGCCGCTTTCTCCTTCCTCCGGTACTCCCCATCATCCACCACGGCTTCTGTGTGATTACGCTCGAGACTCGGAGCATACTCGCCATGTCACTCATCGCCAACTGCTTTCGACGCCTCACCGAGACACCGGCTAAGAACGAGGTAAACAAAGAATCGCTCTCGCGGGCGAAGCATGCACGAGCTTCGTTCGCCGGCCTCGCCAGCTGTTGATATATCTCTGCTCGCTTTGCGCGCTCGTTTCACCGCTTGCTGCTCGCTAATCGCTGGAATTCGCTCGCGTTGCCTTTTTAATCGCACGATTGTGACACCACGCCGCTGCTGTCTCACAATACCGTTCGCTCGGAGTACATAGAGCAGCGTTGTAATTGTATCGCTGAAAATCGATGTTTTCGGTTGCTTAACGTTATCCGTACACGCAGTACTACGACGCGTATACGTATGTACATTATCGCGAAACGCTGCACGATATCGGGTATCGATCGAGCGTATCGTATAATTGTCAAAACACATCTGCACGAGACATCGAGATTATCGCTGACACGCTCGCGCGACTAATCCTCGCTCCGAGCTTAACTTCGTCGGATCGTTCGCCGGGTTAATCCCCGTGGATTCCCTCTCAGTGTGTACGCCACTTGCCCGTTTACTCGCTACGTGAAAAAGGAAGAAGGAAGTTAGCGGAAAAACGATGACGAAAAGGAGCGAGTTATTGGTCAGCCGGTGCACGCAGCTGTTCAGTGTTTTCGCAAGCAGCTGCTCGAGTTACGCGTCGCCGGTACGAGCAGGCGTTCAGCCGGCGGTACTTCCGGCTGACCCGACGCCGCCACTTTCGATCCTGTGTTTGCGTTACCGAGTGACCGCGATGAGACGTCGCCGATGTGGGTCATCGAAAGAATCCGTGACTCGTGGACTTCCGTCCCCGTGACCTTGAACACCAGCGGCCCAATTGCGTGTCCACCGATCACGATCCTCGATCTTTGTTCCGGGGACATGTCACTCGGCTGTGGAATTCGCTCATTTTCCTCAGTCAGCTCGTAGAACACGCGACTTGAACACTCCTTGAAGACGTCCTCACGAATCAGCCTGTATTTTCGACCGAAATTTTGAACGTGAATTTAATTTACATTGAAACTCGCGACGAACGAGTACTTTCGATTTAAATGGGATACGTACGTAGAAATTGCGTCCGTTACAATCGTTACATTTTTCCCATCCTCCCCGTGTTATATCTTTTTTTTTTTTCATTTCAAAGAATTCGCGAATCCGCTTTTAACCTCGACACAGAAGCCAGAACATAGAGAAAGTTCTTTCATCGCGTTTTACCGATTGTTTTCCAGCTGAAGGGCTACAAGGTCACCGACGTGAACCGCATACGAAAAGTCGGCGTTGCCTGCAGGAGCCTTCAGGAGCTGAAGCGGAAAGCGTGCGCGAAGCTGAACGTGAGTATCGCGGTGATTAACGCTCGCGGCGTTTATTTAATCGACCGATAGTCCGATTCGAGCCGTAGGGGGTGGAAAAAGGGCGAGAGGGAGAGAGAGCAAGAGAGAGAGTGAGAGAGAGACGGATAAATGGTGCCGGGAACGAGAGAAAGAGAGACGGAGGGATGGAAACGTTTCCAAGCGGTTCGTCCGAGCTGTATGGAAACCCTAACCGCGATTCCGTGCCGCTTTTACATGTCGTGATAAAAGTTGGCCGAAATTGGGTCATGAAAGCCTCGTGGCTGATCCGCGCTCTACGTTTCTGGAAAATTGTAACGCCCGACTGTGTTACATGTCTCGCGAGATCGGTATTTCGTTACGAGTGCACCGAAAGCGGGCCAAGCTCGTTCTATCCGCGACATCGTGCTGCCGTGTGCGCGAGATCGTTCTATTTCTCCAACACTTTTCGTTTCGACACGTTCGTTTAATCCGTGAGCCCGAACTTTCCCTCGGTTCCGGGCAAAGAGATAGCTTAAATACCGATGTCGTAATCGGGAGATGCGATCCCGATTCGTCAACGTGTCCGAGATACGTAAAATTCGAGAGATTTATCGGAAACATTTGACTCGCAAAATTTGGGAAGCTACGAAAAAATTCGCCAATACTTCGAACACGTTATTCCCTAATTACATAACAAATCGGGTGTAACGTTACGTAAGAAAGTTGCAATCTCGAAGATTTCCCATGAATTTCTCGTTTTTCCACGAAGAGCTCCACGAGAGGTGCAAATATCGCGATTGCGGAAGCGGCCAGGCTTGCACGAGTAATTAACCGCAGAGAGAGAGAGAGACGGACAGAGAAGATTAGGGTTTACATGGGATGCGTCGCTTGCCAACGTTCCACGGCTAGGGTAATCCGGTTGCGGGTCGACCTTGGAGCCGAATCGCATTCGCCTGCAGCGTGTAGCTCTATCGAACCAGCCGGGCCACGGGCAAGGAGCACCCCAATGTCAAGGTCGTCCGTCTGCTGGACCGATAGTCGAGGACCGGCGGCCAATTCTTTCACCGGAGCCAAGATTTTTCGATTTTCCGCCGCGCCGTTCGAAGCGCAACGCGCACGCGGATGCGGCCAACGCTGCTTTCCAGCTTGCGGCCAACATCCCCGCCGTGGTTGCTGCAAAAGTGCAATTCCGGAAGAATTGATTGCGGGATGCGCGCACCCTGGTACCGCACGCGTTCATGGTGCCGCGTGCACGGACAGTTTCGGTGTAATTGGGACGGACTTATGGCTTTTTCCTGGCGTAGAAGGAACGTTCCAGGATGACGTTATGCGGCTCGATCGAGGATTATCTCCCCGTGACTTTGTTCCCTCGACGTTGATGGATCAGTGCTCGAGCCATTTCCTTGGTGCACGAAGCATTGAAGAGCACGACGGGGTCGATTGATATTGGCTAGAAAGAAATATACGACACTAGAAGGACGAAATATACCGGGTATATTAGGTTTGGTGTCTAGAAGCCTCGTTCGTGATCTTTGTCCGATAGACTTCAACGCATTTCGATGATGAACGTCATTATAGGATATAGAATTCGTAATCACCCGTGATCCAAACAGCAATCGAGAATTTGAGAGGTGGTTTTGAAAAGTGTTTTGTATTTTTAACGAACGAGGCTTAGGCTATTCGATCATCAAAACGATTTTATCGAATTTGCTTGACGTAATTCTGTCTAGTGGAATAATACCGGAAGATTGTACGTGTTTCTAGGTAACTAACGACCTCGCCGAGATCAATGTCTATCTTCTCGATGGCTCGTTGATTGACGAGGAAGAGTATTTTTCCACGCTGAAACCTCAAACGACGCTGATCCTTCAGAAACCTGGCGAAAAAGTGTTAAGCGGTTAGTATAGCCAATTTCCATCGTAAACTCGAATTACGAATCGAAATAGAGAATGAAATTAATTTCAAACCTTGGGTAATATTTATAGAAATTTGTTCGAAAATTTCTTTGCAATTTTCTTTATAAATTTTCAAACAATTTTTCCTCGAGGTGTAAACCTTTCCGCGCATTGAATCAACGTTCGCGTTCGCCATTTATAGTTGCACGGACAAGCGAATTGAATAGGAAGCCTAAGGAAACGCGATAAACGAACGCAGCTTCACGAGATCCGACGTCTGTTTACAGATGCGGACCTTCTGTACAACACTTTGAGACGCGTTAACATCGATATTCTGATTGCCGGCGAGAAAGCGTCCGAGTTCCTCACGGAGAACCTTAAAGCGAAGGTCGCCGTTCTAAATAACGTCCTGAACAAAGACGATTCGAAGACGATGTACAGCAGCAGGGACGAGCATCCGGAATGGTTTCGTGGTTTGGAAACCAACTGCACGACCAAAGTGAGTCTTCCACCTCTGAAAAATGAGTTTACGCTTTGTTTCCACTCAAAGGACCTCCCTGTTTCGTAACGCCTTCTTTTTTCTTGTCCCAGTGTCGTGAATATTCACAAAGAAAAGTCGAGTTTGCACCATAAGAAAGGCGACAGGTCTGAGATTTTATTTATACTTTGGCTGCTTCGATTGCCAGCCGATGCGAGCAAATCAGATTATACGCCAAGACATTTTATCGCCTACGCGATTCTTTACATCGTGCTTTTCATTTACGAGCATTACGTGATCCTTGAAATCCGTTTACACGGTATACGTGTCGTTCGTGAAAGTAAAAAATCAATACGAATACCAAGCATCCTGTAGCTATACGATTTCTGCGGCAACTTTTTTCTATGGATGAGACCATTCAGGACGCGATCACAGACATGTTACGTACGTACGCAATAAGTCGGTCTAGGTCGACATAGGCTAATGCAACAGAACGAGAGCGAGTTTATCCTTCGTTCGATATTGCTCGAGTTAATTAACGTTACAGCGCTTCCATTCCGGCAAATTGCCATTTATCGCGAGTGGAGTTTCGCCTCGGAATCTTGCGGTCGTTGGTCTAACGATTCGGCGGGATAATTAATTATTCCGATATCGCTATCAGTTTGCCCCAAGTTCGCGTGCGACTCTTCCTTCAACGCCAACTCTTCGACTACCTCTAGCTCCAACGTCAGCGTCCGGTTTTCGTTTCAAATTGTCCAGAAGCTCCTGTTTCGATCACGTGGTTGTTTCATCGAGGATGATATTACCCTAGATGGATTTCGTGAAAAATAATAAATTCGTGGCAGCCATAGCACCTCCTGTCGTTATTGCGAAATCCCAGTTCTTCTGAAATCCCACGCCCAATCTTCGAACTTGCCAATATATCTGTGCTCCTGGGATCGAATATCTCGGCTTCTGCAGCACGGATTTCCCAGATAGCTTTACTGATGAAACACGTGTCCCACGATTCCTTTTTCCCACGACCTTCGTTTCTATCCTCCGACGTTTCCTTCCGATCACAGTCGATCGACCTTGTTATCGTTTCTCTGGCTGAGCTAGAAGGTCGTAAGATATTAGAGCTATCGACGCGACGTTGCTTCATTATTCGTTATTTTAATATCGATTAAGTTAGGTTTGATTAACGCGTTGCGAAGACGATGGATTGCAAACTGGTTCGGCTGAAATTACCGTCAGAGAAATTGGTCGTATGATTGGGCTGCTATTGTCGCTATAGACAATAACGACAATTCCATTGGCGATTTGCCGAAAACAATAGCTTCGCCTCGCTTTGATTACAAACCAATTATATTCACAATACTGCAATATGAGTGTATACTGACCCATTTCGACTCGCCACAGCGCCGGTTGCCATTTATTGCCCCGCTGTGCCTCCGAAAACTGAATAACCTTTTCCATCTAGCAGACCTTCGAATTATTCGATTAAATCGGTGCATGGGTTAACGAAATTGTTATTTCACAGGAGGCGTACCTGCATCGTAGGTGTCAGGACAGGATACGTGGCTACCTCTACAAAACGATCGAGCAGATTAAATCGTCAGACGCATTTACGAAGGATCCTCGAGCCAGGAAGCAACTGCTGTACGCCATAGCGTTCTTCAAGATGCAGTTGAAGGAGGACCACTACTTTGGCTTCTACTTCGACAGGAGCCGAGCAAAGACAGTGGCGACGAAGGGTGCAGATGAGCCTGACTCTGCCGAATGCTACGACCACTGTCCCTGCAAGTTGAAATGGGTAGATTACAGCACGTACTTTCGGTTATTCGGAACGGAAGAAGAGAAGTGCGACGACGTTGACAGCGTGAAGAAAAGGAACAAGAGGAACTCGTTGGCGGATCTAAAGACTGAAGAGGAGGAGGCAGAGGAGAACTGTCCTTATAAGATTAAGAGGACAGAGAAGGAAACCTGTGTCGCGTTGTGCGACCATACGGGCGAGTTCAGGTGTTGGGGCCAGTGGAACGAAGAAAAGTGCTCTTATGGGGACAGGCACAAGATCAATCCTTATAGGTCGAAGGAGGAGCTTATTTTATTTTCCACGTGGAACTTTGATCACAAGTAAGAGACGTATTTACGATTTCTATTAGCGATTATGTTTGTTGTTCTTATCAGCTGATCTAACTATTGCGATGTAGTTAGCTTAATACTTGAATTACCAACTTAAAATATGTATTTACCTAAATATGGTGTACACAGATTACGTTTTCATTTGAATAAGAGGCAATATTAATTTTGTCAAAGTCAGTTCTCTTGGTAAATATAAGAATAGAGAGTATGAAACTAGTCATTTTGACTAGAATTAACGGTGTTCGAGTCCACTCTGTGTAACAATATTTTAAGTTTGGTATAGTTAGAGACTACAAGCGATGAGTTTGTAACGACGTTTAATTTTTAGGATCGAGAGGTCAAGAACTTTAATTCCGCTGCTTCTGAAATTAGCATCCCAAGGCAACACCAAGGAGACAGACCTCATCGATATCTACGACAATCTGTTCACGATGAAGAACTTGAGGCTGATTCACATCGTGTGTCACGATAAGTGCGCGCACAAATAATTAGTTACTACGTGGCGGGATTAATCTAACCGATGTTCCAAGACGCGGCAGATCACTATCAACATACGTAACACGTAGAAGAACCTCTGAACGTAATCGTAATTCTTCGTATGAAAAGCGTACCTATTTGTAAACCGCTGTTTATAGTTGACAGAATTTCAAAGTTTATTAATTATCATATCCGATAGTGATTCCGTTGCGCCACGAAGTAACAAGCAATACCGATCGCGAGATCGAAGAATTCTCTTCTTTCTATGGTAGATTAAGTCCAACTTTCCTGCATTGCAACCGTCGCAATTTTCTATTATCTATCATGAAACTATGCACGATAGAGTCTATTCGATAAGATAAAGCGGTCGAAAGTCGCATTTGCGATCGATGGTTTAAAAGTAAGGTGGACGAGATCAGTGTAGGAACTTGTCGATTTCTACTTTACGACAGAGAAACATCTTGCGCACAACTTTCGTATTAGTCGGTAAAGGAGAAACCGCGCACGTCGATAATTCAAACACATAGCCCTCGAGAGTAACAGATTGAAATATAAATTAGTGCACAGTCGATACGACAACTTTTTTAACACGTTTTTAAGACATCTTTACGCATCCTAACGATTACTGTAAACTTTCTATCGACACTTTGCTGAATCAATGGCGTTTCTCCTTTTTCAGCATAAAAACCGAGCTCCGCGCGATGGAGCACTCAATTTATCGTACAGGGTTGGGCGCAACGGAATAATCGCGGATTAAAGAGGGTTTATCAAGGCGAATCAAAGGTGTTCGTCTAGAGATCACGGCCTGTTTCGCTGAGACTGTCATGACAGGCCCGTCTAAGGACGACCAGACTTTGGCACGCGTTATAGTTTATCTTTGAAGGAATATACTTCGTAAGATCGAGCATCTTTCGAGTATTTTTGATTCGACTGGTTAACTAAAGACAAAACCAAAGTTCTGATATATACATATACATATAAATATATAAATATATACATATACATATTCGTTATAAAATTTAGAGAACACGCATATATACATGTCACGGACGAGTGTACAGACTGGATCGTGTCTCATTGCTGGTCAATATTTACATCTTACACAAGAAACGAGGATACGCATGACTGTATTTGTAAAATATGCATCGGTATCTCCGTGTGCATAGTACACCGATTAGCTGGAAAGATAGAGAAACGCTGAACTGATGTAATGTCTATCTGTCGCAATACTTACCAAAAAGGAAAGGTATCCCACTCGTAATTCGACAATTGACTTCAGCATTCGCAAATGATCCGTGCAAATTCTGCACAATGTCTTTTGTGTATAGTTCGGTGACCTAAATGTTGTTCGACGAGGAGATACTCGATTCGTCTTGTACACGTGTCACGTGACATGTAAATATATATATACAGAGATATACATATACATATATATATATACAAAAAAAATTATAAAATGTTTTAGAGACTTGTGCGATATACCTGAAGCGGTGCTTCTTCCTGTATGGAGAAAATCTAACGGAAGGACTCGATTCGAATTATGTCTTTTTGATAATTCTTCTTTTGATATTATTTCGATTGGACTGTATTCGTTTCGTCGTGGCTCGTCTCGCGAAAATTTCCTCCGAGACTCGTTGCTACAAAACGAATTATCGCCGATCCGACTCACTTTTTATAAAATCTGGATTACTATCGACGACGACGACGACAAATAACGAGAGAGTAGCGGCCATGGTTGATAATCGTGTAGATTCAGTTGCGTACCGAGGCGTTTTGGAACCCGCCTCTGTTCTTTGCTTAGAAAGTTCGTGATTATTTTCATGCGATTATTTTCATCACGTCGACGATACGTATAGTGTTGTAAAGTACAGGTGACGTGATCTTCCATTGTCTTCGACGAGTCTTTGGTGTCACGCGTTTGAAGTAGTACGCGTTATATACAGGGTGTATCGAAGATTATTCAATGCTTCGAGCAATTAAAAATTTGCGTCGCTTCTATCCAGACGTTTCCTTTAAGGCGAAGACGCTAGCGCCTTACGTGGGTCGAGCTTGAGAGTAGAAACGTGCGAAATTGTTCGAGATCGATCGAAGGATGGTGTTGCAAGAGGCGACAGTATCGTTTGCCGATGCATGCTCTACGCGAAATCCCATCTTTATCGTCCGAGGAATTCGTACGGAGAGATGTTTACCAACGATGTACCGTTCGTCAAGCTTCGCGACTGAACAGTGTGATTTATTGATTTATTGAATCGTTTGGAGTTTCTTTAATCGGACAAGATTAGTCAGTTTTGGTATATAATCCGTTGCATTCCCAACAGTCTTAAAATCGACGTGTAATCAATGTTGTTACGAGAAATTCTTAGAAGGAAAATGAAAGCGAGACGAAACGTGCGTGATCGGGTAACGAGGTTATGTATCGTCTGTGACGCGAAGGAGGGAATTTACTCGTGTATTAAAGAGTAACCGCAAAGACGAAACTATCGTGATATATATTAGGCACGAACGATAAAAAGAGAGAGAATAATATTTTTGTGTAAATGTCCTTGTCACAGGAATACCGACGTTGTACCAAGAGAATGCAGTGCGTAACACGACGGATGAAACTATATAAAAGTGCAATACTTCCTCGTAGGCAACATGTAAGCATAGTTATTTTTCAATGTAAAACGACTGTGTAGCTCTACTTTAGGCAAATGTATATTTTAGGTACGAGAGAATGGGACAGAAGAGAGGAAGAGAGAAAACAGAAAGCTGGTCGTTAATTTCTTTCATTTCCATCCCCGTTATTCCCCTCACGCGCGTTGCAAGTAATGTGCGCAAGAATTAATTGCATTCAGTTAATTACCGGTCGCGTTGAAACGACCGTCGAACTCGTTCGTAACTTCGCGGCGTTAAATTTTACGACGCGGACGAAGCTTCGACGAAGGAAAAGATTTCGCGTCGGATTTGACGCGGGCTCGTGCTGTTCGATCGATCGCTGATTGGTCAGAAATAATCGTGCGCGGGAAGCCGGCATATTCTACCTCGGTGCTCGGAAAAGTTCCAAATTCGTTTCGCATTTGCAAATGACAAACGTTTCGTCGTAACTCCGCCTGTTTTTTCAATTACGTCCGCAGATATTTCCGCGATAATTAAACGACGCGCAATTGTCACGCGGAAGTGTACGCTCTGTGAGAATTTATATGGAGGATTGATGATCGGGGAAACAATGTAGTTTCATTAACCGACGCGAAGACAGTTCCGCGACGTCGGCTCGTTTAGGTTAGGTTAGGTTAGGTATCCGACAAAGTGGATACCGCGTTATTTTTCCGATCGGAAAGTCTTCCTTCGTTTCTCATCCTGGATTCGGCTATTTCGTCGGGATATATACGCGGACGTAAATCAATTACGGCTGGTTAATTACGAGCGCAATTAAAAGGGCGATTACAACGTAAGAACCGTCCGACCCAGTGTCGTTTAATTTAATTGCGCTTCTAAGGTTGCCGCGTTCTTTCCCTCCCTTTTCACCTTCGTCTTCGCCGTCATTATTCTCCCGGCTCTTTGGCATCGGCCGCGTAGCAAACTTTTCGCGAATGACGTCGCGAAACCTCCATTAACAACGATATTGTTCAAGTTTCGCGCGTCGGTTGGCTGAACACTTTTCCTTCCTCCCTCTCACCTTCGTTCGGTTAATTAATCGTAACTACACCCCTGGCTTGATGAAAACTGCAACAACCGGTTCCCGGTTTAACTTTGTTGTCTATCGATTTTAATCGACACGCGGAACGCCGTTGCCTGGTACGTATCGGCAGAAAGACGATTTCGTTTCACGAGATCGCCCAGACGACTTTGAATTGAATGTGAGAAAATCGTGTAACGTGAATTTTTTTCTAAATATCCGAGTTTTCGCAGATCGCAGGTCCCTCTTGGAGAATCGAATCACGTCGACACCATTTCGACGACAGACGTGCTCTTTTGCGCAACGAAGCGACAGGATAATGGATCAATTTCGAATTCACTGAGCAGCCTGAATGAAGCTTAAACTTCGTTCAATTCCACTCTTTCACATTTTTGTTTCTTTCTCTCTCTCTCTCTCTCTCTCTCTTTCGCTTTCACTCTTTCTCTTTCTCTTCATCTATCCATCAACCGCGACAATCCAGATTATTTTCAGTTTTCGTGGTTTCCGCTGTGTCCATATCGTTTGACCGACTGGCTCTTCGAAAAAATCACAATGGTGAAAGGAACGATATTTCTGAGAGTAAAACGAGAGGCTCTTTGTTCTTGCAAGCCTTTGAACAACGTGTTTTCGGAAGGAAGGTATTCAGCAAGAAGAAAGACTCGTAGGTATAGCATTTCGAAATCGAAAACGTCGAGGGATGCAGAAAGGTGTCAGCTGTGGGATTTATCCAGCCCAATCTGGACTTGTGTAACGAAAATAAATTTTCGCTTCACGACTCGGTGATTTTTCGCGGCTGAGTGGTCGTCCATGGGTGACCCACGGGGCGAAAATTACCCCGCAATATGTTGCCAATCGTAACGAGTCGACAATCCGTGAAAGAAGGAGCACCCAATCGAAGGGTGTCCTTGGAACATTACCGACTTATCGTTCCTTTGATTGAGAGAAGTTCGAAGAAATTGCCTCGCAGTATAATACCCTGATGCAACTTGCACAAAACTGGATAAGAGAAGTCAACTATAAAATATTCTCAACATCTGTATCGGCGAGATTATTCTCTACGAATCTAGGTAAAAATCAATGTTTTAATTTAAAGATTACATCTCGAGTAAATCGCTCGACACTTGGATTCACTTCACCTTTTCTTCAGAGCCCATATCGAAGGACGTATCCTTGTCGACGAGATCCTACTGTCACGAAACAGACCGTAAGGCTGGAACATGTTGAAGCATTCACGTAGGATGGAAATGATGTTCTTTACTACGGAATCGAGCTTTATCGCGAAAGTGCGTTCAGCGTGTCGAGAGTAGCAACAGCCTGGATTAAGGAGGACGGAAAGCGACCAAGGTGGGTTGGAATTCGGCCCGGTTTTCCGGCACCCTCGTTTCCTCGTGCACCCTTGGCGATTTTACTGCCGGCACTAATCACTTCCCTGCAAAACGATTTACTGATTTATCGTTTAATTTCGCGACGATAGCCTCTCGATGCCTTGGTCGGGCACCATGCGCCACGCCGAGCCAACGCCATGCCACGCCAACTACTGCCACTACTACGTGCATAAAACTTTCGAAATTCGAGATCCACTGTGCAAGGAGCGATTGGAGCACACGGAGGAGAAGCTGAAACGACGAAGAAAGAGGGAAAGTGGGATTTTCGTTTCGCCGAGCTTAACGATCGACCTAGGAGCATTGCGCGACCGAGTCGTTTCGATATTATTCCCGAGCACCGGACGAACCGGATTTTATCGTCACGTTAAACGCTGCACCGATTCGTTGTTACGTTTCCTCTGTAATGTGCAATTCGGTTTCGTATAACGGATCGTTGCAGAAATGCGGACTCCCCACGGGAAACGAGCTATTTCACGGTATCGATGACGCCGATGAAATTATCGAGAATTCGCAAAATTCATTCCGATACCGTTTTCGATATTCAAAGTATCGTGTTTCGCGATATGAACAAAGGCAAAAATGCAGTTCGCGCGCAACGAAACGAGGTTGGAAGAAAATTTTCCGCGTATACAGGCGGATTCACAATCGTGGACCCACCGTCTGAAAATAATCGAGACTTCGGCTTGTTTCTAAATCGAGATCCAATTTGGCTATTCGTTCGACAAATCAAGCATCCAGCCATTATGGATTTTGCAGATTACACGTTTCGCGAAATGATTCATCGAGTTCATTCCGGTGCACGCTTCTGCGCTTCATACCGTACAGTAAATTTCGCGCGTGTCCAAAAGTGCGCGCGATTCGT